TTCAAAATTTTAGGTATTTTTCAAGTTTGTGAAGTATTTTTTCAAGTTTATGAAGTATTTTGAGCAGAGTTTCCCCTCTAATTTCAAATTACCACACCTGTTTTCCAAAAACATACCACAACCATAAACATAACAAGTTCAAGAAAAACATTTTAAGCAGAAACATAACATCCTAACAAGTTAAAGAGAAGCATTTTAGGGGAGAGGCACAAACAAAACATCCTAACTTGAATAATATAAATACATAACAAAAGCATTTAAGCCTTTGTTTTAGGCTTCTTCTTTGGCACTTTTAACTCATCAGTCTTTTCCTCAGTGAAAGGAGACTGCACCCACCGTGAAGGTTCACCTTTTCTCTTCTCCGGCAGCGGTGTACATGGCTTCAATGTAGCATCAGTCTTCCTTGGTCTACCTCTCTTCCTCTTCGGCTTACCGTGTATCACATCCTCTTCCACTATTTTCTCAGCTTCTTCAACTGTTTTTTCAGGTTCTTCGTAAACAACCATGTACCAGCTTTGTTTTTCTTCCTCAGTGTATTTTTCAGCCTCTTCCTCTTCGGATTCTTCCACCTTTTCAGCCTCTTCCTTTGCAACATCTTCATCTTTTTTCTCCTCCTCCTCGCTGGAACTTTTCTCTACAACTTCTTCACTAGTTTTCTCAAGTTCTTCATCTTTTTTCTCCTCCTCCTCGCTGGAATTTTTCTCTACAACTTCTTCACCAGTTTTCTCAAGTTCTTCATCTTTTTTCTCCTCCTCCTCGCTGGAATTTTTCTCTACAACTTCTTCACCAGTTTTCTCAAGTTCTTCTCCCACCATTGCTGCCGTTATCCAATTTTCTGGTGGAGTAATCAAATTCGCTATCACTGTTAACCGTTTCTTTGGTGTTATGTTGGATTGTCTCTTTGCGGCCTGTGCCTTAGTCCTACCACGTGGTAGTGTAGGAGTTTTCACTTCATTCTCAGCCTCTTTCTCAGATGTTGTAGGAGTTTTCACTTCTTTCTCAGTCTCTTTCTCAGGTTCTTTTTCAGCCTCTTTCTCAACCTCTTTCTCATCTTCTTTCTCAGCTTCTTTCTCATTTTCTTTCTCAGCTTCTTTCTCAGCCTCTTTCTCAGCTTCTTTCTCAGCCTCTTTCTCAGCCTCAATTTCCGCCAATTCTTTTTTCTCTTGCTCATCAATACTCCTCCATACTGCTTCCGCCTGTACTCTCCCTTTCTCACGAATACTGTCTAGCTCTTCCTGCTCATCCTCTTCGTCACCCTTCACACTGTCTTGCTCTTCCTGCTCTTCCTCTTCGTCACCCTTCACACTGTCTTGCTCTTCCTGCTCTTCATGCTCTTCCTGCTCTTCATGCTCTTCCTCTTCTGCACCCTTCTTCTTGCTCTTCTTCTTTTTCTTCTTGCTCTTTCGGCTCTTTCTCTTATTGTTTTCCTCATCTTCCTCAACCTTCTCACTGTTATCCTTCCCTTGATCTCTACTATAATCAAACTCATTCCATTGTCTAAACTCCACATCCTCATTTCCCTTGCTTTCAATAGAAGCCAGCCTGTCTTCTATTTTCTTAGCCCTTCTATTCAAAAGACGCTGGTTCTTCTCAAGTTTACCCATCGTCCAGTATATAGCCTCCAGGTTTGTCTCTACTGTTGAGTTAATTGCAGAAAATCCTTCTTCCATGGCTTTCACCATCCTCTCTTCCAGACCTTTCAAAATCGACTCCAAACCAGAATTAGAAGATGAACCTTCTACAATTGTCACTTTTTCTTTGTCTTTCGTCTTTGTAAGCTTTCGTGCAGCAACATCTGACTCATATAATTCTTTCCACCAAATCTTCTTCTGCTTCACATTTAGCCAGTAGTTCCACCTATCACTTGTGCTTCCCTCACGGTGATACTCTGGCTCCGGATCAATGATACGAGCCANCCAGAATTAGAAGATGAACCTTCTACAATTGTCACTTTTTCTTTGTCTTTCGTCTTTGTAAGCTTTCGTGCAGCAACATCTGACTCATATAATTCTTTCCACCAAATCTTCTTCTGCTTCACATTTAGCCAGTAGTTCCACCTATCACTTGTGCTTCCCTCACGGTGATACTCTGGCTCCGGATCAATGATACGAGCCAGCAAAGTTTCCTCATCCACAGTTGGAACCAACACACTGTTAATAGTCTGAAAAAAACATTCAGAAATATCAGTTTAAATTCTCTACTATTTTCTACTAAATGATATAAAGATATACCCTTGTCTCTCCAAACGCAGCATATATATCTTCCAAAGGATAACCCTTCATGTTACTCTTTGTAAACCGGCTCTTGCACATCCTAGGACAATCTTTACCGGCGCCATGTGAACAGATTCGGAATTTTTTCCCCAGCTTAGGAATGCACTCAAAAGCCAATACCTACACAAATAAAGTGTACAATGTCAGATTTTCGATTATGAATAACAAAAAATTTCACTAAATTGTATGTTTTTTTACCTCTAACGGTATTATGAATCCATTAAAGCTGGTTGCAGAACGCACTTCACCCTTCAGACGCTCCATCACATGCTTAATCTCCTTTATTGCACCTTCAAATGTTAGACGACCCCAAGGAAATTTTCTACAAACATCCAAATCGTCCACTATCCTTAAGATGAATGGGTCTAATGGTCCGGAATCCTTCCCTCCTCTGATAATCCGACCAAGGAAGAACAAGACAGCCATCTTCAATCTATCAGTACATGGTTGCTCCATAGACAGCAGCTTCTGCTCCACATCTGTTATGGTGATCTTCTTATTACTACCGAAGTAATAATCCACAAACTTAGTACCCCCGAGCTCCAAATGTCTACTCGGATACTCATGGCAGTCCAAGCCAGAGATGAGGGCATGCTCCCTCATAGAATAGCGGATGGGCACACCATTCACCGCAAACCATGCAGCATCTTCTCCTTCAATATTAATGGTGTGCATGAGTAACATCCACATTCCTTGGAGCTTCAGGAATACTTCATCAGGCATGTGGAAGAAATGACGAAACTGTGGATGGCTTGTGAACCACCTGACCTCCTCCTTTAACCCCTTAATCACATCGACTGTATCCTTAACCTTGCACTTCGACTGAATCTTGCAAGTCTTCAGGTACTCTGTGCTCTTGAAGTACAATTCAAGAGGCTGTGGTGGTTGCCTTTCCTGCAATCAAAATATATATATGTATTAGTCATTTCTTACTAATAANACTGTGGATGGCTTGTGAACCACCTGACCTCCTCCTTTAACCCCTTAATCACATCGACTGTATCCTTAACCTTGCACTTCGACTGAATCTTGCAAGTCTTCAGGTACTCTGTGCTCTTGAAGTACAATTCAAGAGGCTGTGGTGGTTGCCTTTCCTGCAATCAAAATATATATATGTATTAGTCATTTCTTACTAATAATAATAGTAAAATAAATGATTAAAATGAATGCAAAAATTACCTTGGAGGACACATCAGACATGTCTTCACTTTCAGTATCAAGTGAGAGCGAAACTACAGTCTTATCTCTCACTGGGGCACTCTCTTGCTGGACTGCCACTTCTTTGGCCGGCTCATTTCCATCTGACACCGCTTTTCTAGCTCTAGTTCTGCTGGAGACTCCACCTCCAGTAGATGGACGTCTCCTTTTTTGGCCCTGTGTTTTCTGATACACAACATTGACACTTAATTAACCATAACCAATAAACACCAAGCAGTGACAATTTATTACTAAAACCAAAAGAATAATATACCTTAGAGGGGTGTTCAGGCAGATCATCACTAGTGTCCCTGTCTGATAGCTCTTGCACATTCTCTTCAACAACAGGGGTATCAGATTTTCGAGCTCTCGGAGATCTCTCAGTTTTCTTTTTAGTTTTTCTTCCACCTTTACCTGCCATTAGCTCGTTCCTCTGAACATCCAGAAACAACAACAGACATTTAGGCACAACCCATAATTATAAATTTCAAACAATTCATTCACTCAATAAATCACCAACTCTCTTTCAATTTACATTCAAAGAGTCAATCAACATTTCGGTTTCATATCCAATAAAAAAATACCCACAATTTTTATATATGTTTCTGTTCAAACCAGTAACCCTAATAGAAGTGGCAAGTTATCCCCAAATTGGGATGCAAACAATTTTCAATATGCATCCAAACAATTTTTATATATGTTTCTGAAACAAAATCGCAAGTTATCCCCAAATTTGTTTTTCAAATCGACTAACAAAACAACCTAATAACAACCAAACAAAGGGAAACTAATCACTTACCAGAAGAAACGGAGATGGAGACTCGATTCGACGGAGAAGGTAACAGAAACGAAGCGGTTCTCAACCCTAGGGTTATGTTTAATTTTCGAACAAAGACAAAGAGAGAGTTAAGACACGAGAACTCCGAAATAAGAGGGAGAGATTGATGGATTCTTGAATTCGATGGAGGACGAACGCAAGCGACGGAGGCTAGGGTTTCAGAATCGCCTGAGATGGAGATGAGTTCGTCGAGAGGGAGAGAGAGGAGAAGGGGAGAAGGAGAGTCGGAGTGTTTGGGTTTAAGTCAAAACGCAGTGCTTTGATTTAGGAATCGGGTTGTGTCCGATTGGGTTTGGGTGGGTAGGATATCTGTGGTTGGGTCTGTAATTACTTGATTTTCTTAGGGTTTCATATGTATTTGTCTTGTTTTCGTATTTAAAAAAAAATAAAAAAAAATAGATATTTTATTAGTGGGAGAATTGAGAATCTTTTATGAGTGAGAGGAGTATTTGGGGTTATTCTCCGGAGGAAGAGGATAACGATGATATCCGATCTTCCAAACGATTTGGAATCGGAGATACTTTCTAGGGTTCCTGCCCATTCTCTATGGGAACTGAAAACGACTTGCAAACGATGGTACGCCTTGTTCAGGGATCCGATGTTCGTGGAGAAGAACAAAAAGTTAGGTGGAGGTGTAAGAGAGTCATTGTTACTGAGCAATCTTAGGGTTTATTCAATCGCCGGAGACCTCCATGGGCTTCACAACAAATCATCTATTGAGTTCACAGGTAGTCTAAAGGGTTCGAACTTCTCTAAGATATTTCACTGTGACGGTTTAATGTTATGCTCAACGGAGGAAAACACTAGACTTGTTGTCTGGAATCCATGTACGGGTCAAAGGAAGTTGATCAAACCTAGAACTTGTTACCGGAGTAATGATAGATATGCTCTAGGATACACCAGATGTTCTTCTTCTTGTCGCCATAGCTACAAGATCTTGAAGTATTGGTATTATAGAAACGACAAGAAAGTGTGGGTTGCTGAGTGTGAGATCTATGATCTTAGCTCTGGTTCTTGGAGGGTTCTTGATTCCTTCACTCGTGACTATTTGATATATTGCGATGGTATGTCTTTGAAGGGAGATACTTACTTTGTCGCTGGAAATAAAGAAAGTGGTTTTTTCTTGTTGAAGTTCAATTTCACGACGGAGAGATTTGTGCGCCTGCCTCTTCCCATTCCGAGTTTTAATCTTCCTGATAGGGTGGTTCTTTCGGTTGTTAGGGATGAAAAGCTCTCGGTGTTGCATATTGATGGTTTTGAATGGTCAGATGTGATTAGTATATGGGTGACAGATAAGGTTGATGAGGAGTTGTCATGGAGGAGTGACTTTGTCTTGCGTGTGGATTTTGATAAATTTGATTTGAGAAATTTGGCGACGAGTGTGTCAAGCTTCTTGTTGGACGAGGAGAATAAAATGGCAGTGTGTTGTGATGGGACCAGAATCTACATTGTTGGAGAGGATATTTATAAACTAGTTTATAAAGAGATTACAGTGCCGTCTCCTCCTCGACCACTTGTCATCACTTATGTTCCAAGCTTGGTTAAGATTTGATAAGTAGCCAAAGCTGGAGTTGATGGGTTTTAGGTGCTGCAGATGAATGATGAGCTGGCAGCAAACATTCGTCCTGAAAATGAAGAGTAGTATGAATAGATTACAGAGTGATATTGAGTAGTTTATGTATGTTAATGGAAAAGACAACATGAGTTCTTGTATGGTGATCGCCATGAGATGATACTCTTTGTCAGGCATCTTTTGTATTCGTTGATCATTCAATGAAGGAAAATATTTTAGTTTACAGAGGAGTTCTGATCATCAAATTCTATCAAGATTACTTAAGCTTATGAAACCGGGATGTTCTTAAAAGGGTTGTTTCTATTTAGTTGATGATAAACACATAATATCTAGATTAGGCTGTTCTTGTCTCTCTGTTCTGGTCTTTCTCATATGATTTTGATCTTGGAGAGAATAGTGACAACTTTTTTTTTTTAAACACACACAATAGTGACAACTATTTAACCAAAATGTGCATACAAAGACTTCGAAAGGCCGCAATTAGGATGAAACTGGATTGGTAATGTGGTGTACCAACCCGGTTCAAATAAGCATTCCATAAACAACCTGAAATGGCCGATGAGAACTATCTCAAGTTTAATGTATCATCAGAAGACTAGTTTCTTTTCACCTTCCATTGCTCGAACTCCATGGAGCTTAACACGAAGGAGCTTGCCTATAGATTCATAATAACTCAACCTTCACCTCAACCATTGTCAATATATACTTTCCACTAGTATGCATAATGTGAAGTTATTGGATCAAATATTTGAGTATATTTAAATATACCAACTCTATTTGAGAAGATTTTGTAAATTATTATTACATATTTTAAGGCTATTTAAATAAATTTCAAGTTTTTCCAAAAAGGTTATTTTAGAAAAAAAAAGTATTTATAAAAAATATTTTATTTATATATATATTTTTTTTTTTTTTTTGTTCAGAAGAAAATATAGAAAATATACATATAGGGAAAATCGCATACAAAACTTTAAAAGTGACACGTACTGACACTCTAAACCTTGATTTTTTTTTATTAGCATTTTACACATTCAAAATGATATTTATATCACAAAAAACCTTCAACCCGCTTACTTGTTCATCAAGTAAAAAGACTAACTTGTTATAAAAGTAAATTTGATGATGTGTCGATTTAATTTTGAAAAAAATATTTATTAAATTAATAAAATAAATACAACTTCAAATAAAAACTGAAAATCATATAAAAAATCAGATAAAAGAAAAAAATCAAAAAATAAATAACATTTAAATATAAAAAGTTCAGAAAATTAAAGAAATTTTAAATAAATTAGACTAAATTAAAATACTGAAAATTTGAAAAAAAATGAAAAAGATAAAATTAAAATACAGAAAGTTAAAGAAATCAGAAAAATAAACAAACAAAAAATCACAAAATTACAAATTAAAAATTCATAATATGTCTCTTTTAAATTACAAGATTATTTTTTAATGACAAACATACCATCCAATAATATTTTCAAACATATCACTGATGACGAGGGTGGTTTTTCACACAACTATTAAAAATGATGTTTTTGACAAATCTCTAACGATAATATCATCTTTGACATATCTCTAACGATAGTTTCCGACATCATCGTTAAAAGCTTTGACAGTATTTACTATTTTAAGAAACCTTGACATATCTACTGCTTTGAATGATGGATATCAAAATTATCGTTATGGGCATATTTACAATCATTTTTAACGATGATGTCAAAAACTATCGTTGGAGATATGTCAAAAACGTCATTGTTAATGGTTATGTGAGAAACCACCATCGCCATCAATTTGAAATTATTATTGTCAATGATGATAAGTATGTTAATTTTTTTTTGTAATTTAAAAAAAAACTATATTTTCTTTTCTATCTTTTTGAATTTTGTGTTTTTTTCTATAATTTTTGTTTGACTTTCTGAATTTTCCTTTAATTTTATGTATTTTAATTTAATCTTCTATACTTCTTGAATTTTTATTTTCTTTTTGTATTTTAATTTAATCTAATTTATTTTTTGAAATTTTATATAATTTTTTGAATTATTTTTTATTTTCTATATTTTCATTTAAATTTTTTTGAATTTTTATTTTTACTTTTCTGATTTATATTAAATTTCTGGGTTTTTTTTGAGACATTGACAAACATACTCATATTGACTCTGTAAACCATATTAAATTTCTGGTTTTACATTTAATTTTCTTATTTTTTATTTTATTAAATAAATAATTATTATTTTTTGGAAAAACAAAAAAAAACTTACACATCATCATATTTACTTGTTGTAGATCAGTTTTTTTTTATATTTCAATTGTTTTAATAGATGATACAGTAAAAAACACAAAGCCACAAAGCCGAAAGAAGAAGTTTACAACTATGAGTATCTAAGACGGGTGAATTATTTACCAAAAAAAAGCAAGGACGACGGCGATGGCGATACGATTGTAGGGCTAGGATGAAGTTTCAAGATTGGGATCCGGGGATTCCATGGGTCACAGAGATCTCAACGTGATACTATGGTTGTTTTTACAAGGGTTTTCAAGGATTTCGTGAGGAAGTTAATGGGTATAATCGGATGGATTTGGTGGATATCAGAGAAGATTTACAGCAAAAGGCAAATAGGGAAACTGATAGAGATCAAGTTTTATTACGAGATTGGGTTGGTGTCTATTCAAGGGAATTACAGCTTCCAAGATCCTCTCTCACAGATATCCATGCTGCCATCCTCGATCTGCTTCGCGTATGGCGTAGGTGTTTAATTGGAAAATATATATATGGATTATTTTTGGATCGGGATAGGAAAGTTGTAATTGGGTTACGGATTCATACCAAGCATTTTCAACATCATGATTTCCTCTCTTTCTTCAGAGTGAGGATTTGCAGGATCAACCAGATTATTTGGTCTTTAATGGGATTTATTCTAGGGTGAGAAGGTGAAGTCACATGATTATTATATAAGAAGAGGTGCTGCAGATGATCTCAACACACTTATCTCATCACTTTTGTTCATCTCTTTCCATCTCTTTGGTTTGTGTGGTCTCTCTGCTCTTCTGGTAAGTATGTCGCAGGCTCAACTCATTGGAAAAACTGGTGACATGAAGAGTGTAGAGGGTACTCGCAAGAGGTTGAAGATTTCAGTGCCTCATTTTGACAACACGGAGCTTATCAAGCAATATGATAAGACTCTCATCGGTAGATGTATGAATCCTGCTGAGCAGGAAGTGAAGGCGCTTATTCTCATGTTGCCTAAGATCTGGAATGTGGAAAATCGAGTTGCTGGGATGGATTTGGGGTTAGGGCGTTTTCAGTTTAATTTCGTTGAGGAGGGATATCGAGACAGTTCTCAAGTCACAGCCTTTCCACTTCGATTACTGGATGATTGCTCTTGCTCGCCGGAAGCCACGGATGCCAAGGTGTTTCCCTTCTGCTATCCTTTTTTGGATTAAAGTTATGGGGGTGCCGCTTGAATTTTGGGATGCTCCAACATTCCAAAGTATTGGTGAGGCTTTGGGAGACACGGTGGAATTTGATTTGGATTATGGGAGGATCAAGGTAGTCGTTCACGGTGATAAAGAGCTTTGTTTTGATAGCACGGTGGATTCTGCTGGGGGTGAGTTCCATGAAGGTGAGGAGGCTTTCATAGATTTTCGCTACGAGAAGCTATTTGGATATTGCAGAACCTGTTTTAGTCTTTCTCATAGTGTGGAACATTGCTCTTTAAATGCGGGAAGCTCACACAAGAAGAAAGAGGTCAGATAAATGCCACTTGACAGATAAGAGGATAGAGCTTGCAGTTACAAAGGTGTGGTTCTCAATGGTGATGGTGGGAGACAAGGTAGAGAGCAAGAGTATAAATGCGGGAAGCTCACACAAGAAGAAAGAGGTCAGATAAATGCCACTTGACAGATAAGAGGATAGAGCTTGCAGTTACAAAGGTGTGGTTCTCAATGGTGATGGTGGGAGACAAGGTAGAGAGCAAGAGTATAAAGAGTATGTGGGAAAAGGGAAGGGGAAGATGTATGAGGAGAACAGAAACACTGGATTAGAGTCCCTGAGAAGGATAGCTACAAAGACCACTCTCATCGCAACAGTCACAGGGGTTCTAGGTCTGATCGATCAAGGGAGTATCATTTCGAGGAGCGGAGTAGGTCATTCCGAGGAACGAGACGTGAGGCTCGGGAGGAGGGAGAGTTTCATAATCAGGAACAAAAAGTAACTAGGTGCGGTGAGCATTTAAACCGTCCTCAGTCATAGGAGATACCGGTGGACCCAACAATCATTCTTAATGATACAAGGAAGGTAATCTCAAATTCTATGAATGAGGAAAATGGGTTAGATGTGGTTAATAATGCTGTACTAGCTCATGAGAATCTGGGTCTAGAGGAAGATGTAATGGAGTTAGACGGGAATGAAAATGGTTTGGTAGAGGATGATGTAGTGGCTTGTGATGAGGATGGTTTTCAGGATTTAACTAATGATGATATAGAGAGGAATAAGGAACCGGCTCAGGAAGGATTGACTGATCCTAATTTGGATGAAGCTTCACTAGGAGACGAGGAGGGAAAGGAAAATGTCATGGGTGCTGGAGAAAGATTAACTCTGGTTTTATCGTTCTTCAGAAAGATCCTAGTTGGTTCTATCGTTTTTTTTTTAAATTAATAAGCTCTAGGAGCATTCTTCTGGAACTTGGTCTCTTCAAACCAAGAACATGGAGATATATAAAAAGGATATCGATTTGTCATGGGGCATGTCTGCGAGTTTTACTGGATCAATTTATGGTGTGAGAACAACATGATATTAAATGGCAGGATTATATTTCACCAGGTGAGGGGACGAAGCCTAATTATAGAGAGGTGGGAGCATCTTCAAAGCAATGATGGTTAAACAAGGCCACTCAAAGGTTTATTATGAATGGTTTATTAAAGGAAAGAGTTTTGAAAGGTAGCATGTTTCATTATAACCTTGTTCTTGTCAGCTCTTGAGAGCATAAATGCATTTTTTGTGAAACTATTAAGCTGGAATTGTAGAGGATCGAGAAGTAAATGGACAATTAGCTATCTCAGGGAAATATGGAACAAACATAGACCAGATTTTTTGTTTTTATAGGAAACAAAACAAATTTATGATTTTTTTCAAGGATTTCAAGACCATTTTGGATATGATAACTTGGTTATGGTAGACCCAGTTGGAAGAAGTGGAGGTCTTGCTCTTTTTTATAACAATGAGTATCAAGTTAATATTCTATATTCAAGTAATCGGATGATAGATGTCGAAGCAATGGCGATTGGAAAGAATGTTTTCCTAACTTTTGTGTATGCCGATCCGGTACAGGAATTGAAGAAACAAGTATGGGAACGTTTAACTCGTTATGGTTTAGCAAGATCAGAACCTTGGTTCATAATTGAAGATTTAAATGAGATCACCGAAAATCATGAGAAGGAAGGGATGTGGTAAGAAGTTTGGCTTCTTTTGTTCCTTTTAATAACATGATTCGAAATAGTGGATTACTTGAGTTTCCGGCTCGAGGAAATAAAATGTCATGGCAAGGACGTAGAGGGAAAGGGAAAGGTGCGGTGATGATAAGGTGTCGTCTCGACCGAGGTTTAGCAAATGAAGAATGGCATACACTATTTTCGTGTTCATATACAGAATACTTGGGGATGGTTGGCTCGGATCATCATCCAGTAGTTGCACATATGGAGGACAAAGTTTATAAAAGGAGGGGGCAGTTTAGGTTTGACAAAAAATGGATTGGAAAGGAGGGGTTAATGGAATCAATTGTTGCAGGCTGGACAGACGAACATAATAGCCAAGATTTGGTCACTAAAAATTAGTAATTTCCGGCATGAGATAGCTAGGTGGAGGAAAGATAACCCATCATATGGGAAAGAGAAGATACAATATCTCCAGAAGGCTCTCAAAGAGGTACATATGGATGATAGTCGAAGACACGAGGACATTCTGGAGGTATCTAGGAAGTTACAGGAAGCTTACAAGGATGAATAGGATTAGTGGTATCAAAAGATCCGTAATATGTGGTACATCTCGGGAGATCGTAATACCAAGTTTTATCATACTTTAACAAAGCAACAGCGGGTGCGTAACAAAATAATGGGGCTTCATGATGATGCTGGAAATTGGATAACAGAGGAACATGGGGTGGAATAAATAGCAGTGGGTTATTTTGAGGAATTATTTACTACTACTTCCCCGTCTGAATTTGATAGCTTCCTAGAGGAAGTTCCCTCACATATTACACCTCAAATGAATCAGAGGCTATTAAGGAGGGCCACAGAGGAGGAGGTTAAACAAGCTTTATTTATGATGCATCTAGAGAAGGCACCAGGACCTGACGGGATGACGGCGCTTTTTTCCAGCACTCCTGGCATGTCCTTATAAAGGCTTTGGTAGAGGAGAATTGGATTGTCGTTTAAATGTTACTCTTTTAAATGTTACTCATATTTGTATGATTCCGAAGACAGAGAGACCAACAAGGATGACAGAAATTAGACCGATAAGTCTTTGCAACATAGAGTATAAGATCATTTCGAAAGTATTGTGTCAACGACTGAAGATTTGTCTGCCCAAGCTCATCTCGGAAATTCAATCGGCTTTTGTCCCAGGGAGGTTAATTTCGAACAACATACTAATTGCACAGGAGATGTTTCATGGTCTGAGAGCCAATAAATCCTGCAAGGGAAAGTTTATGGCGATAAAAATAGACATGAGTAAAGCGTATGATAGGGTGGAATGGGATTTTGTTCAAGCTGTGTTTCAGAAGATGGGTTTTGACCAACATTGGATAATGCTTATGATGGTATGTATATCGTCGGTCCAGTATCGAGTACTGATAAATTGACAACCTAAGGGTTCTATTATCCCGCAGAGAGGGTTAAGACAAGGGGATCCTTTGTCTCCTTATCTTTTTATTTTGTGTACGGAGGCTTTGATTACCAACATTAAAAAGTTGAGCGACAGAAACGATTAACGGGAATGAAGGTTGCCAGAGCGTGTCCAGCGATTTCTCATCTGCTTTTTCGGATGATAGTCTTTTCTTTTGTAAGGTGCAACCGGAGGAGTGTCAAACCATCCTCACCATACTTACGGACTATGAGGCGGTCTCAGGTCAATTAATAAATTTTCAGAAGTCTTCAATTCAGTTTGGCCATAAAATTGGGGAAGATAATAGACAAGAGCTAAGGGATATACTCGGACTTCAGAATATAGGAGATATGAGATCATATTTAGGTCTACTAGAGAGTCTGGGTGGGTCTAAGATACAGGTATTTAGGTTTGTTCAGGAAAGATTAAATAAAAGAGTTAATGGCTGGACTCTTCGGTTTTTTTACGAAAGGAGGGAAAGAAGTGATTATCAAATCAGTGGTCACAGCGTTACCAAATCATGTGATGTCCTGCTATAGGTTACCTAAGGCAACAACAAAGAAACTAACGAGTGCGGTAGCACAATTTTGGTGGAGCTCTGGGGGAACCTCAAGAAGAATGCACTAGAAATCGTGGGACAAAGTATGTCTAGAAAAGGATGAAGGGGGTTTGGATTTTAAGGACCTTGAGGATTTTAATACGGCAATGCTAGGAAAACAACTTTGGCGACTTATTGAGAAACCAAAATCTTTGTTTGCTCGTGTTTTCAAAGGTTGGTACTATAGGAATGCGACACCTTTAGAACCGATCCGCTCATACTCTCCATCATATGGCTGGAGGAGTATGATCTCAGCTAGATCTCTGGTTAGCAAAGAACTTATTAAACGTGTGGGATCAGGATCATCTATCTCAGTATGGAATGATCCATGGCTCCCAACCACTCGTCCGAGACCAGCAAATAAAAACCAACATAACTTTTATCCGAAACTCACAGTGGATTCTCTCATCAAAACAGACACGCGGACTTGGAATATGCCGATTATTCGGGCTTTAGTAGATCCACAGGATGCAAAATTAATAGAAGGTATTCCACATAGTAGGATGTGGGTGTCGAAATCCACTCACTGTCAAATAAATCGTAAAAAAAGGAAACTTCGGGAAAACCGTAAGTTTCCAGAGGAACCGGCTATCTGCAGAGCCGCACAACGAAAAATAAGAAAAACGATAACTTAGAATTTGAATGAAAATAAGCGAAATAGAGAGCAAAGAGGTTCTTATTCCGAATCTGCGTAGAACTGGTACAAAAGAGTAGCCGAAAAGCTTAAGAACGAAAACCCTAATTGAGACGCATCTCGCTAACAGAAAAACGGAAATATTCCTAAATGCTAGTTTTGGTGGTGAGAGCTCTTAATTTCGTGTGTTTGCTTCTGCCCTAGACCTCCTATTTATATACTCCTCGCCTTGGCTATCCGATCTTTCCATTTCGCCCAGATTTGACTAAATCGGGAATTTTCCATTCTTCTCGATCCTTCCTTTTCTTCCGCGGAAATCTTCTATTTCTCTTCAAACCTTCCTTTTATCTTTAAACTTGACTTTTATTTTCCTTCTGTGAGTAAACCGTCAAAACGTTATCAAATCTGCGGGTTAGATTCCGTTGAAATCGCGAGATGGGTTTTTATCGCGTTTTAGGTCCTTCCGGGCCTTTTGGCGATAAAAACCGTTTTCCGACTTTTTACGGAATCGTTTCCTGATCTGACGTCGTTTTTAATAAATTTCTCGAGTTAATCGCAAGGTTTTACGATTTACTCGACTTTTTATTAAAAACACGTTTTTTACGACTTACTCGACGTTTTTTATTAAAAGCGCGTTTTTATGATTTCAACGAGAAATCTCGAATAAATCGTATAGTTTAGGCAATGTTCGGTGTTTCGTTTAACCGTTGCCGTTTTATACGATTTCCTCGAGTTCTTTCCGAGAAAACGAAATTTTACGGTTTTTATCGTAAAACTCGAACGGTAAGTCGGATCGAGATGGAACGGGAGATATTTTGGCCGTGGTTTAGAACGCGACCTTGTCGAAAGACGTCAGTTTCGAATCGGGAATGCGGGAAATCGAGACGCGGAGTGTCCGGGAAGTCTCTAGTTCGCCCATCGGCGAACTAAGCCAGGCCGGCTTAGTTCGCCGATGGGCGAATTAGAAGAGTACTTCTTAGTTCGCCCATCGGCAAACTAAGCCGGGCCGGCTTAGTTTGCCGATGGGTGAACTAGTTGCGACTCGTTCGCGTTTTACGGCTTTTTTGGTTTTTTGCGGTTTCGTAAAACGATTCTCGAGTTTTATAAAACGATCTTCGGATTTCATAAAACGACCTTCGAGTTTTATAAAACGATCTTCGAGTTTTATAAAACGATTTCTCGAGTTTTATAAAACGATCTTCGAGTTTTATAAAACGATCTTCGAGTTTTATAAAACGATTCTCGAGTTTAATAAAACGATTTCTCGAGTTTTATAAAACGATTTCTCGAGTTTTATAAAACGATTCTCGAGTTTTATAAAACGATCTTCGGATTTCATAAAACGACCTTCGAGTTTTATAAAACGATCTTCGAGTTTTATAAAACGATTTCTTGAGTTTTATAAAACGATCTTCGAGTTTTATAAAACGATCTTCGAGTTTTATAAAACGATTCTCGAGTTTTATAAAACGATTTCTCGAGTTTTATAAAACGATTTCTCGAGTTTTATAAAACAATCTTCGAGTTTTATAAAACGATCTTTGA